ATAGGTAAACTCCTATACTTAACAATGACGAGGCCAGATATCTCATTCAGTGTACTAACACTAAGTCATTTTTTACAAAAATCGAAGAAATCTCACATGGAAGCAGCTCTAAGGATTGTGAAGTATATCAAAAACAGTCCTGGACAAGGGATACTACTCCCCAGTAAATGCAACGGCACAATTTCAGCATATTGTGATGTAGATTGGGCTGCCTGCCCACACTCAAAGAATCTGTCTCAGTTTACCTAATCAAATTTGGAGACTCCTTAATATCATCCTTAATATCATGGAAATTAAAAAAGCAAACCACGGTTCCAAAAAGCTCAACAGAAGCTGAGTATTGAAGCCTTGAAGCAACTGTGACAGAACTTATCTGGCTAGTGGAACTTCTAAAAGAAGTGGGAATTGATACCAAACTACCTGTGGAGGTATTCAGTGATAGCAAAGCTGCAATGCAAATTGCAGCAAATCTAGTTTATCACGAAAGGACAAAGCATATCGAGATCGACTGTCACTTCATTAGAGAAAAAATCATACAAGGACTAGTCAAAACAACATACATCTCTACTAAAGAATAACCTGTAGATCTGTTGATTAAGGGTCTCAACAAAACTCAGCACGAACATCTTTCCTCCAAGGTAGGTGTTCTTAATGTATTTTCAGTACCTAGCTTGAGAGGGAGTATAGAGAAAGATATAACATAGCTAGTTAAAGGAAGGCCATTAAAGTAATCTCCTTATGTTAGTTAGTCAGTTACTAACGGCTACATCAAGTTGTTAATGTTAGTTAATTAGAGAAGGAACTAATCCTATATATGTCTCTAACCTCTGTATAGATGAGTAATGAAGTAATATACAATCTCTCTCTTTTCACGCATATCTCCTCTTCTCTCTATCTCTCTGTTTCTTTCTTCTTCTTCCCCAACTGGGCAAGCACCCATTAATTAGTTCAGAATTTTCGATCTGCCTCGATAAACAACTCTTTTTTTATTTACCACTCGATGCCCGGTACTTCATTGGGCTGCAACTAATACAGATTCATTGGACTGCGTAAAACCTATTAAAGAAGGAAACACTTTCTACTACATTCTGTTTTTTTTTCCACATGGCTCGAACTCGATATCTCTACTAATAAATTTTTTAACATTGAATGAGATGATAAAATGAATAAATGCACAGACAAGATGAGAGGTTGGAGAAGAAACTAAGAAGTTGCAGTATGGCCCCATACAAATGGACAGAATTGCAATTGTGGCAGGTTGATTAATTATTTGGGGAATACTATAATAAAAATCCCACATAGGAGCTGCCAAGTATGTCCTGAAAAAGGACAAGAGTTTGTTTGGAGTGGGTCTATTGCAGTAACATGATATGCTTTTCCTTTTCAAGAATGATTGAAAATGCCAGCAAAGGATGTATTTTATGAAACTTCTCACTACTCTCTCTTAGTTACTTGTCCACGTGGGATCTTCCATTATTACTCAATTTCATAGATTTTTGTACACACACGTCCTTTTTTCTTTTAAATTATAGGTATTTAATATCAAAAGACTCGAGAAACAAAATTTGAAGTTCCTTATCAGGAATTATGGTGGAATGAATAGGATCCCTCAATTTATAATCGAAAGTTTCAGGTTTGAACATATTTATTCAAATTATTATTCAACCATCCGAATATAATTATTCCACCATTTTTTTTAACTGAAAAGTAGTAATATCAAAATCATTTTGCTATGGTAATGTACAAGTACTAGAACATAATATAGACTTATTGAAGCATATTACACAACAATCAATTGTTACTATCTTTTCCTGCTTTTACCTCTTTCACCTTTAATTGATTGAGTTTTCCACATAGGCAATTACTTGTATTAAGTAAGATTAGACTGATGTTACTTCAGATTCATCTAGAATATGGAGGAATTATTTACTGCTTTTAGCTAGTCATATTTTGACCCCATTTGCCATTGATTCGAAACGGTTATTAGGTAAATTACTTTTTTTTCTTAATTCAGTAAATTACTATTAAAGTAGTGTCATCAGTTCAAATCTAATATAAATTACTTTGGTGTTTCTTTTCTTTCCCTCTTAATTCTGTAATAGTGTTATTTTTCTTAATTTTGACAATGAAAAATTTTCATTTATGACTTAGTTCTAATTATTGCGCATAAGCTTCTAACATAATATTTTGTCCATTAAATTAAATTTTTTTCTTATATATTGCACCGCTAGAGAAGAAAATATTGATTTTTTTTGAATTATTTTAATTATAATTCTAGAAACACATAAATACAAATATTAGGATCTCGACTTATGAAATAATAAAATCAAGTCCTAAGTTACTACCAATATTTAATTATCAAAATCTTAGATTGACTTAAGCCAAATTGGTTCTTTTTCTACTCATAAATGAAAGCATAGGGAGAAAATATCGCAATTGTTGCTTTCACTTTCAAATGACTACATCCTTGTCTTGGTTTTCCATATCATAGAACACAATTATGGAACTAGGCATCTCTTTTAGCAGACATTAGGGTTTCAATGTGCAGGAATTTAAGGTCCATAATTCCCCATTTATCTCACATCTAACTCATTGGAAATTTCCTCTCGTTCCATCTTTTTCAATAATAATAGTACATGTTTGCAATATATTTTCAACGTACGAAAAATGAATTGCAATCACAAAATAAGAGAAAAATATCTTTATTATAATTCTGTTTCTTTCTTGATTTTTCTCTCCCGATTATCTTCGTGATTCGAGGGTTGAAGCATTGTATTTCTTGAATGTAGGATGATGCAGACCTCCTGGGGATGTATTTGATCTCTATCTTCTTGAACTATTTGATTGTCAAGAAGTATCTAGCCATATTTTGTTCTCTTAATGAATATTCCAAGAGTTCTATGGAATTTCGGAGATCGTATATTTGATCTCTTTGTGCATATTCCGGGAGTTTATAGAACTGTTGAGATCGTCTTTGAAGGACATATATATGTAGCCTTATTTATAGGCATGAATTAGGGTTTGGGTGGAGTAGCCACCAAGTAACCCTAATAGACTCCTAATATTTCAAGAGTTGTCTTAAATATAGGATTTATCTTCATCTATTAAAATTTCAGTCTACAGTACATAATTACACACTCTATTATTTATGGTCCTTCCTTGAACTCATATATAACAAGAGTTTAGTGCACTGAGTTGCCTGTTATTTCATCAATTTCGATTTTTTTTTTAAAATTCATAGGGAACCTGCAGCCGCTACTCTTCGGGTGCACACTGGGTAAACTGCTTACTGTGCAATAGCTCGCAAACTATACAGGAGATGTAAACCAAACTAGGCAAACTTGGTGCGATGAACTCTGATTGAGGAGGTTGCTGGCGAGGGAAATCGACCATAGGTCTCTCATGTGGGAAACCACTCAACCAACCAACTCAGCCAACCCTTACAAGATTTTCGACCATTGTTGCCGTCAAGTTAATATTGTCTCTACCTAAATTTTTATTTTAGGTGCATAACAAGAGTTTAGTGCACTGAAAATGTACTTTTTCCCATCTTCTTCAACCATTGTTGCCACCCAAATTATTACTGTCTCTACAGAAGTTCCTATTTTTTTCTTAGAATTGCAGCAAGAATCATTATTTCTTACATTTAACTCAAGTTATCTGAAATTGAATTTGTTTATTCTATCTAATTCTGTTTTTATTCCGACACGACATCTTAGTAATTTGTATTCTACCAAGGCAAAATGGTCCCACCAGATTTAATTTGCCGCAAAATGCCAGTTTTACTTATAGAGTTTTCACTTTCACTAATAGATCCTTGAAGGTGAAGATTTTCCTTTTTTAAATAATTTCTTTTTTCTTTTTTTGCTATCATTTTTCAAAAGGTAAAGTTTCTTTGGAAACCCCTATAAGGTGGAGGGTTGTTCATTCCTTCTCTTAGCCTTTCGGTGACAATAGCCAATTAATTCAATCTTTTCCTTCCTTTTCTTTATATCAGTAGTGTTCAGATCAGTTACTAAATATTTGCTACCTTCTATTTGAACAAGTACAAAGAAATTACTTAATGTTTTTTGTCTTTGTTGAAATTTAAATATTAATTTTTCAGGAATACTCTTACTTTTCTTTTTTCTTTATAACGTTGGTGTTCGGATTAGTTTACACGAATCTCGACTATTTTACAAAAAAATTGCTACCTTCTATAGTATAGGGATAAAATAGTCACCTAAGTTTTCTTGTCTTTGCTGAAATTTAAACCTTAATTTTTAAAAATACCTCTACTTTTTCTTTTTCTTTATAATGATGGTGTTCGAATTAGTTTACACGAATCTCGACTATTTCACTAAATTTTCATTACAAATGCAAAGAAATTACTTAACGTTTTTTGTCTTTGTTGAAATATAAATCTTAATTTTCAGGAATTCCTCTACTTCATTGACCGTCAAGCCACATTGTTGAGTGCACTTTTATTTCGTAAAAATAGCACGGGCTAGCCAGTTTTCGGACTGGTCATTCAAAAATAGCCAGCGTTTGCAAAGTCATTGAAAAATAGCCACTATTTTGCTGGAACACGGAAAGTTCCAGCATAATATATTGGAGATCGGTGCACCTATGTATGAACTTCCAGCATATTATGCTGGAACTCCAACACGTGAAAAGTTCCAGTATAATATACTGGAGATTGGAGCACATTTTCCCGATTTGAACAGTGTTTTCGTTCAGATTTATTTTTACATGAAAAGTGACTAAATTTTGATTACTTTTGAAACGGTGACTATTTTTGAATGACCACTTGTAAATCTTGCTATTTTGAATTTCTCCCTTTTATTTCTTTTTTAATTTATGTTTTCTGCTTGATCATTTGGCAATTGGCATATAATGTCAATCTCAATGTTACCCCTAAGTGAAACAGGCCATTGTCTAGGCAACACCACTATGTTGTACCAATAATAGAATCTTGAAAATGCTCTTACCCTTAGCATAATATATAAAAGCAAAAGCTGACTCTTCATTCTTACAAAAATCATTTCCTTCAACCTCCCCCCTTCTTTTTCTCCTCTCTTTTTGACTCCCAAATCTTACACAAACAACACCTCAACAAATAATCATTTCTTTTCACCTTTCTTGATTCTTGTCCTTTGCCATCTACCTTATAAATTTTTCCCTCTTTATATACAACTATTGACAACACTAGAAAAATATCAAGAAAGCTAAAAAAAAAATAACCAAAATGGCAGTGGATGTATGTTCTGAGATTGCAAGTTTAGTGGTTAGTCCAAGAATCTCATTTTCTCATGATCTTAAAGAAAATGATGATATTATACCAATTGAATGCCACCATTTTAGATCAGATGCATTTCTTCTTGAATCTACCATTGACTTTGATTTTTGTGTTACAAATCAAAGCTTTTCTCAAGAAAAAATCTCTTCTGCTGATGAACTTTTCTCCAATGGCAAGATCTTACCAATTGAAGTCAAGAAATCAACACCCTTTATAGAAATTAAACAATCCGAGCCACAACAACAACTACGCCTCGGTTCTAATCAAGTTGGGTTCGGCTATATGTTTGAGCCGCAATCTTTACTACAACAACAATTATGTCTCAGTCCTAAACAAGTTAGGGTCGGCTATATGTCTGAGCCGCAACCTTTACAACAACAACAATCTGAGCAACCACAACAACAACAACTACGTCGCCATCCTAAACAAATTGGGATCGGCTATAAGTCTGAGCCGCAACCTTTACAAAATAAAGCTGCAGCATCAGTTCTTGAAAATGGTACAAATGTGGATACAAAGAAGATGAGGTTAAAAGAATTTTTGTCAAGTAATTGTGATGAAGAAATAGAGAAGCCACAAGCAAAACCATTTTGGCAATTCAGAAGAAGTAATAGTTTGAATTGTGAAAATGGTAGAAGCAATGGATTAAAATGGTCATCTTTGCAATTTCTATCAAGAAGTAACTCAACTGGTTCAGCTCCAAATCAAAAAAATTCAAAGATTTTTCAAAAGCAAAATTCACAAAAGGAACAAATTAAAGTTCTGCGCAAGAGCTCATCTTTATCTTCATCATCTTCATCTTCATCATCTTCTTCTAGTTTTTCATCTTTTAATCAGAGCCATTCATTACATTCCTCATCTAAGAGGGCTCAATCTCAACCGTTGAAGAAGAGTTACAGTAGATCTTATGGCAATGGAATTCATGTTAGTCCTGTTTTGAACCTTCCACATACTTATATTTCTAAAGGTACTGTTTGTTTATTTGGTTTAGGTTCATTATTCTGTAATGGCAAGTCCAAAAAGAAGAAATAATTTTTTATTTCTGCATATTTGTTCATAAATCAAATATATTCATAGTTTTTCTAAAAGGAATGTGGTGGCATAGATGAGATACTATGCTCCCCTTTGGTCATAGGTTTTGGCAACTTTTTTTCAAATCTTTTTTGAAAATATTGTTTGTTCATAGATTAATAATCTATTTTTAAAAATGTTGTTAGGTGTATGTTGGATCCTTCAAAATAATACTTAATATTTTTGGAGAATCTGACACGAGTACAACATCATTTTAGAGACTCCGCTCAACATAGATTAGATTCATTTACCTTTAATCATGTATCGGATTCAAGTTCTATTAATAGAGAAACTCCTAGTAGAAATTCCTCCCCCCCCCCCCCCCCAAACCCCAAATAGATTCTATGTTGTATAATTCCGGAACTGGAGTGGTGATAGAAGCCCGGATACAGATTCGACTGAATTCAGCATTGCTGAATAGATGACACGACCCTCGATAGAAAGGTGTGGAGGTCGAAAATTAGGATGGTGGGTTGATAGACAGTCTAGAGTTTTGCCTTGTCTTACGGGTTGCAGTAGTACTAGTAGGGTACTTTCCTATCCCTAGTACATTGTTTCTAATATGGTATGTTAGTATTAGTAGTAGGATTGGTACTATTCTTGTAGTTTCGCATCCCTGGTTCTCTATCATTATTCGTTGTATTTGCTTACACTGTCTTATTACATTGTTGTTGTTGTTATTGTTTCTATAGTGCTTCATTTTTAACGTAATTGTTGTTGTTGTTATTGTTTCTATAGTGCTTCATTTTTAACGTTCTTGAGCCGAGGGTCTTCCGAAAACAACCTCTCTACCTTCATAGGTAGGGGTAAGGTCTGCGTACACACTATCCTCCCCAGACCGCACTTGTGAGATTCTACTGACTTGTTATTGTTGTACACAGTTTAAATTTAGGACCCAATTATTAGCGCTGCGCTTTCAATCGTTGTTTAAAATTAAATAATCATAAAGTTGAAGTACTTGGCTTCGTCTCCGATACAGAATATTAGCGGGGTCAATAATTTGTTAATATCAGATACATCAAAAAGAACACGTGAAAGACGTTGGAGTAAGAGTGAAAATTCAAAAAGATTGTAGTAATCTTAACATAGGATTCTAAATCTAAAGTTAAAGAATGATTTACTATGGTAGTTCTAATAATAGGTTAAATGTTAAAGGGCACAAAAGAACAATAGCCTCCTTTCTTTATGGCTTTTCATGCTTTTCCTCCTTTCTTTTTCCTTGGAATATTGTGGTTTTGGAGATAAGTCTTACCTCTTTTTTGAATTTTAACTTTCTTTTTCTTTATTGTCTACAAAATTGTCAAGTGTTTAGCCAAAATAACTTTAAATCTTATCATTTGAATTTTATTTTCAATTTTGGTCCATTTTGTACTGTCTAAGGGCATCAAGACAAAAAATGGATCTCAATTAAATATTAAAATATTAATCAATGATTGAGGCTCCTTATTTTAAGTAAATACAAATATATAATACTACTGATTTGATCGCAAATGTGGTTAATAATTTAAATATTTGACTATCTTACAGTCATTCTGCTGTAGCCATATATCTCAAACACCATTGGCTGAGGCAGTGAGGCCATATAGTGAAATCCATATAAAGCATGGTCTATTCATTCAATTGATTTGGCCTTGTTCTATCTTAGATGACGAACGAACTTTTCTAGTAATATCTTTTTAGCAATAGCATATTATGTATTGTTGATAAAAAAAAAAAAAAAAAGGAGGGGGGGGGGGGGGGGTGACAGCTCGGTACACAAAATACTCCGCATTTATATAGGATTCGGGAAAGGGCCGCATCCCTCTTCAGAGTGTGATATAGATAGTTTACCCTAATGCAAGTGTTTGCTCAAAAGTTATTACATACCTTATGAGTATAAAACAATACGAATAAATCACGGGAAAATCATAGCAAACCGTAATAATCCGTTGGACCAAATGAAAGAAACGAAAATAAGTACTCAGGATTAGGGGGAGAAACATTAAAAGCCTTTATTCATAATATTGGTTTGGTCTGCCTCTCCATGAAGAGGTTCAGAGCCTTACAACGGTGTTCCTTTTGCCCATAATTTGGGTATCGTTGTCTCTTTTTTTCTCTCTCAATCGTGGCCCAGAAGAAGCCCCCCCTTTCTAGGGTTTCCTCTCTTGGTATTTATAGCTGTGAGCTTCGTGAGCTGGCAATAAGTGGCCGTGACCACGTTGGGATTTCGCCTTCATGGTGGCGGATAGGCCAGGGCCTTGCTGATCGAACCAGATGCGGGTTGAATATCGTTAATTCTGAGTGGTCGTGCCACTAATTAATCATGAATTAGCTTAAGACGGGATTAGCCTCGTCAATTATCGTGGGGTCGGATTCTGACCCATACAGTTAGTCCCTCCGCTTATTGAGGTCGGGCCTTGGCCGAGCTCGATGAGTGGATTCCATTGACTGTAGTTTGAGAAACTCGGATGGGGAGGTCGACTGTTGATTCGGTCGAGGCCGAATTTTTTTTGGCGATGGCCCTTAGCCTTGTAGAGTATTAGTATCCTGTTATTGGGCTATCAAGTCATCGTTCGATCGAGGTCGAACTCTCCTCCTGGGCGAAGGCGCTTGACCTTTTAACTTACTTCGAGTGAGGTCGAGCTGCATTGTGCTTTAATCCTTACGTTTGTTTTGGGTGCATACCCGTCGACCATGGCGGACGGGTCGTATGTTGTGCGGCCGAGGGGAATGAGGGCACGCTTGATACGTGCTTGGCGGTGTCAAAAAATTTCTAGGGCGCAAGGAGCATCTCCTCGGCGTTCATAGGTCGTTATAACCATTTCAAGGGCGAGACGCCGACGGGTGATTGCAATGCTGCTTTATGGAGCCTGTCATAATGACGCACATTCCTATAGAATCGAACCGGTATGCGGTTGGTCATGTAGTTAATGGTGGTTGTTGGGGTGCATGAAGGCCACTTGTGTTGCCTATAAATAAAGGCTGAGGCATTCGTTTTTCATATTCTTATTGCTTATCTGAGAGAGATTCTGAAGAAGCTTTTCTTACTGCTGTTTCACCTTCGTCTTCGTCCCCCGAACCTTGTTTCTTTCTCGTTTTTGTATCAAAAATGGCAGGCATTTCTTCCCAAAACGTTCTTCCGACGGATCTTCCGGTTAACTCACCGGTGACCGAGGGGCCATTTCCGGCGATGGGCGGTGCAGAACTGGTGGAGACCGGTGAAGCTCCGTCGGTTGACGAGATACTATCTCTGCCCGGAGTTTCAATGACTGATTTCACCGCCGATGGTGGGGAGGATCAGGTGGATGAAGCCCCATTAATGGGGGAGATTGGGATGTCTCGACTGCGGGAACAGGGGGTCATCCCCGGCTATGCTGACGTCATTATCGCTAGAAGCGAGGAGAGGGTCCATACCAACCGTAGGGGATACTGCGTCTTTTACGCCTACCCCTTCAAGTTGGGGTTTAAACTCCCGCTCCCAATGCTGGTGGTTGATTTCTATCGTTATTACGGGGTATGCCCGGGTCAGCTTACTCTTTCTCTTTACAAATTGTTAGCAATGCTCATCAAATATGTCAGAATTGGCTAGTAGGGAGATCACGCTACAGCATGTGCTTAGCCTCTACGCTCCCCAGAGGGTTCGTGGTACCATGATTCGAGCGTGCCCTCGCGGGACGAGGGGCCTGACAGCGAAGCTGGATGATGAGGTTGAACCTCGCCCTTTCGAGCACTTCTTCTACATCAGGATTGAACATTTAGTGGCGTGCTCTACTGGATTCCCAGAGGCTTGGAATCATGCACGTAAGTTCCTTAGCCATTGAATCCTCTCTCTTTTTTTTTACCCCTCCTTACGTCTTGTGCTCGTAAGCGTTAACTCGTGTCAATTTTGTAGCCGAAAAATTGCCGCCGGCTCCGTTAGCTGGGATTCGCGGATGGGTCGAGGTCGTGCTCCCCCATACGGTGGGGATACGCACATGGGCGTCTTTCTGGGAGAGGCATGGCCGTAGTCCTGTGGTAGGTAAGAAAAATTGACTCCTTCTTCTGTTCCGCTTTGTTTCGACACTATTCCTCAAACCTTGTTTTTCTGTGATTAGGGAGGGCACGCCGCGTCAGGGCCCCTCAGTTGTCCTTCCGTCGACCGGGTGCAGTCGCTCGACTTACTGTGGTGCTTGTGTCGCGCTCAATACCGAGGGCGGCATCAGTTGAATCTTCAGCGGTTCCTTCTCCAGCACGGGCCGCGCTTCGGGATGAGGGGCCATCGGGGGTTGTGCGCCCTAGGGCGGAATCGTCATCAGACGGGGAGGAGGAGAGGCCCTTGATAAGGCGTAGGGTTGTGTTCACGCCGGCTCCTCCTGTGGTAATCAATCTAGACTCCCCTCCGACGGATACGGAGAGGGGTGCGGTCTCGGTGCCCGCTTTTGAGGGCGAACAGTCAATGGGGGTTGCCCTGGATGGCTTAGGCCATGAGGGTGCCGTCGCTTCGGCGACTCAGTCGGTGGTTCCAGTCGTTGAGACGGGAGGTAGTTCCTCAGCGGCTGGTAATGTTGGTGAGTTAAGCACCCCTTTGGCGGCTGCGGCGGGAGATTCCACCTCGCCGGCGGCTGAAGGAGGAAGAGATGCTGTAGAGGGTGAGTACGAGTTTGAATCTGACTTGGACCCCGACGACGTCCGTATGTTGCAAGAAGGCTCCACCAATTCAGCGGTGCGCGCAGGGGGGCGATCTCGCTTCATCGAGGTTCCCACGGAGTTGAACTTATTGCTCCAAGGGGAAAGCTTGGTGCCGCAGTTCGAGCTGCTATGCTCGAAGGCCGAGAATGCGTCGTTGAGGGGCGTTACGGATGTCGGACTGATGAATGAAGTAGCCGTGATGGGCTTGAGAGTATGTACTATTACGTTGGTTCGCTTATTCTTTGCAGTCTTATTTGTTGGAGGTGAAGAGCATCCGTCGAGCCAAGGTCCGCTCGAGGATATTTTTTCGGGCGCTGGAGAAGTATCGC